TATTTCCACATCCCTTCAGAGCACTTTGATCTATATTAAAAGTTGTTTCCTTTTAATCTCGTGCTTGTTTCTATAGTAACTCTAAAGCATATAATCAGTTGCAATGTCCCTAAGCCTTTTTCATGGCAAATTCTTTTCAGTTAGCAAACAGTAATAAAAACATAATCCTTGTTTAGAACTTTATCTTCTTCCTAATATCCCTTAATTAGTATGCAATAGGATTAAATACAACAACAGCCTCATTATGTAATTTCAAATAATTAGGAAAAAAGTACAAATTCTAAACTAAGCACTTAAGTCTTGTAGGAATTTACTGCCACCTTCAGGTTTTAATCAAAATGCATTGAGACTACAACTTTTTTATTTTCAGGAGACATCCCCTGGTTAATAGTATATCCTGGAAGCCCAAAGAACACTGCCCAAAATGTACTACAGCATTTCTAGGCTATATTTAATGAAAATCCTTAAAGCAAAACTGCTTTAAATGTTCCATATGGCAGTGCCCTCCAGCTAAAGATGACCAGGAACATATCTGTGTTGAACAAGTTGGGTTTCTTGCTCATTGCATTAAGGAGGAAAGTACACCATAGGGAACTGTGGGTGTCTGAGTAAAAAGGTATCAGAGAGGACCTATGGAATTTGAGCTTGAATTAGAAGATTTTGAGTAGTTTAAGGAAATGGGCTTTGCTTCAAGACCATGGATAAAACACTGTCAGGGAGTGGGGGTAATACTACCATTGGGCATCTTAAATCTTATTTATAAAGCAGGAGGAATGAAGTGAGGCTAAAGTTGTAATTAGCAAAGAAGGAGCTGTCATTCACAGAAGCCAGCATAGGGGAATACTTAGTATTTTTGTGATTTGCAGATTGACCTTGTTTTTGTCTCTAGTTAGACAAGATTTGAGGAGTATGACAGGGATCTTTACTGTCTCAATTTATCATGGTCACAGAATGGCCTTGTTTGATGTTGATATTCCATACAATTGTTGATGTTCACAAGGGAAGACCAAGGAAGGCCTAGTTGTGAGTGCTAGGCAGTTCCTAGTATCACAGTCTGACTGCTTTTCACATTTTCACATGTAAATTTTCAATTCTATGAATATGTTTTATTCTTGAACTTGCAGTGAAATTATAAAAGTTTTTGTTATTCAGGTTCCTGCTGTTTTAACAAAATACCTGAGATATATAGTTCATGAGGAAAATTTTTATTTTGGCTCATGGTTTTGGAATTTTCAGTTCGTGGTGGTTTGGGCCTCTAGTGGGGCAGAACATCTTAGGTGAAGTTCGTGGCAGAGGAAAAGTACTCACCTCATGGTGGTAGGGAAACAGAGAGAGAGAGGGAGAGTGGGACTAGGGTTCCCTTCCCAATGACCTAACTTTCTCCCACTAGGCCTTACTTCTCAATAGCCCCAGACTGGTGACCAAGCCTTTAACATATGAGTCTTTAGGGGACATTTAAAATCCAAACCATAATCATTATTTTCAAGGTGAAATTCAACAGAATATGAAACACTAGTATTTATCATAAACATTACAAAAGAATGAGACCAGCTCAAAATAATTTGGAAAAAGGAAGACCCATGTAACATGAAGAAGATTATCATGTAGCTGGATTAGAGGTCAGCTAATATCAGGAAATTAAACACTAAGGAACTATCCATCTCTCATTTCTTTATCTCACCACATGACAAGAAACATAACTCTGCATAGTTTCCAAGTTTGATTACCCCAGTTTCACATCAAAGTGAGACTGATTCCCTTTCACAGTTACAGTTTTAGAAATTCCAGGGCTGGAGTTGTGGCTTAGTGGTAGAGTGCTTGCCTAGCATGCACGAGGCACTGGGTTCGATCCTAAGCACCACATAAATGTAAAATAAAGATATTGTGTCCACCTAAAACTTAAAAATAAATATTTAAAAAAACAAAAGAAATTCCAGGGAAGGGTTCTAATTGAGGGAACATGAGTAATATGAACACCTGAGCAGGCAACTGGAACCAAGAATGTTGGGGCATTAGAGAAATGGATGTTCTCATTAGGACCATCCATTAGGTCAGATCAGGAAAGAAACATTTCCTGAGGAAGAAGAACCAGAGCGCTGCAAAAGGAATTAAGTCCAGTTGAAAAAGAAGAAAAAAAAGAAGGAAAAAAAAATCAGTTCTAGGGCTAACAACCCCAACATAATCTGTGATCTTTACTAACAGAGATGAGATGGTACCATATAACCTCCTTCTGGATAGAAGGATAGAACTTCTCTCTCCAGGACAAGGTCACCCACCTCAAACCTATACAGGGAAACAGGAGAGAGAAAATGACTCTAGATACTAACACTATATAACATCTTCTTTTGACCTTCCTTTAATAAAATGTCTCAAAAGAGACTACACTAGCTTCAACTTTAGGAGCAAAGAATTTCTAGACTAAAAAAAAAAAGAATTTTTAGACTTACAAATTTTAGTTTTCTAAGCTAAGAAAAAAATATGACCAGAAGGTCCTAATATATCACTAATATGTAAACAGTAAACATGCCAGAATTCTTACATTTATATTCATTTCATTTTAAACATGAAAAAATGTTAAATAACAACTTTAAGTTTATAGACAGTTCCTGGTACGTGCACTTAAATCACAAGTAGGTATTATCACTGGCTGCCCATCAATTAGCGGCCAAAGTGGTCCAATAAACTGGCCAGAGTGATAAGGTATATGGTCTAAAAAGAACTCAAAGATGCTGTCAGATGACATAACTCTGGCCCACAAATACCCCTACTGTACCAACAAAATTTCTGAAGTTCACCCACAAAGAAAATGTAAGAGAGATGCATTTTCTCTAACCCCATTCTGAGCTGTCATGTTCTTTACTTTTTTTTTTCCTAGTATTTTAGATCACCTCATATTTAGCAAATAAAATAGTTTACATTCCAATTTGGCAAGAGACAACATAAATCCTAACTAATGTATTCATTCAAACATGTATGTCAAAACAACTTTTACATGAAGAAGACTGCAATGAAATGTATTCAGTACCCAGTACAACAACGAAAACAGGTATCAGTGAGGGGTTTGACATTACCATTTGTTAATTATTAGTTGATGAATTAGATTAGTGATAATTGGGATAATTTTTTTTTTTAAGAGAAATGGGAGGAAAAGGTGGACTGAACATGAAAAACTAGAAGCTTTGCCAGGAAAGTTCCAGCATTTGATTCTAAGACAGAATCAGATCATAAACAGTAGGAGGCTGCTGCTGCTACAAGACATTTCAGAATTTCTAACAATTTTCCTAAATTAAACTTCTGACCAGAAGACTAAGAGGAAATTGCCAAAAGCAAAATACATTTTTTAGTATTTTAATCAAAGATGAGCATATACTTTCCTGAATCTTATGTTAAGGTAGAATAGTATATATGACATAAATATTAAAGTTTTGAAAATAAATATACTAAATCATAGTTTTTAAATAGTTTCTATTTATAATTTATAATTTCAACAGTACATTTTTATTAAAGTACAATATGTATGCATGAATATTTTTAATTAAGCATAACTTAGCTTTCTTTAACATCCAAATAGAACCCAAAAGAGGCTTAATTGTGGTTTAGGAAAGCAGAAACACTTGTGCAACACTCTACCACTCCATATTTATTAATTGTTAAAACAGTTCAAATCCTTCTTAGAAGTGGACAGATTACAAATAATAAAAGAACTAAATGTGCAGAAGTAATTCAAGACACTGCAAAGGACACTCAAGCACATCTTTTTATTATATACTAAATTTAAAAATACAAATCTTATTAAAAATGCTTATCAAACATTGTATACATAAGAACTGTCAAATACTGGATTATGACATTATGTACAGTTGCTAAGGTTAATTAGAAATAAAACAAAGTAGCATAACTTTGCTGATACTGAATTTCAGAAGTCAAATGTTTTAAAATTTGGCAACTGTGAAGTAGGATGTTTGCAGAGGTAAAACAGTAAGAAAACAAACGGAATCATGCAGATATTCTGGCACTAAGTGTTAATATGTAGATTTCTTCCTCATCCTCTTAAGTCTTGTTGTAACAGAAATTAAAGTGCATAAGACCACCAGGAATACATGATTTGGTTGTACCCTAAATATATACTACAGCTAACTGTGCTGCCATATTGAGGGTTTCAATTCTTTGTACTGTTCCTGAGGCTTTGGAAGTTCATTTTGAATGTGGCTAAGGGAAGGGAGGCCAACACTCTCTAAATTGCACCAAATGGCCCTAAAGTGTAAAAATGCCAAAGATAAAAATATTAATTTGGGAATAGACTCAAGGAAATTATCCCTATTTTGCCCTATGAATAAAATTAGAATAAGGACCTAGTTTTTACCTCTGGAAAATGCTTACTAAAAATCTGTTTCAAAAGATCAGACATGTACAGCAAGCACCACAATACTGTCAGTTACTATTCACCACTAACATACTGCATCATAAATACCAGGCATGAACACCTGCCCTCAAAAGGGTCACAAGAAATACAGGTAGAAACATGTTATCACTTGACACTAATTTTACTAATTGACATTAAGTATAATTCATTAAAAAAGGTCACCACCATACAATCAAGGAAGAGGAAAAGGAAAGCTATTCTACAAAAGTGCTCCTTTTAGCTTTCAAACCCAATAGTTTAATTTTGGGTAAAACAAGATTGTAAGGTAAGGCCATCAGTTCTAAATAAGCTGATGATGCCATATATACATACTCACATATATATGTTTAAATTTCAATTCTGATTTCACACCAATGTACTGGTACAAACCATTCATAGGAAACATTTTATCAGTCTTATTTACAAACATGATGAGTGACAAAGATATGGAAAATTTTAAAACTGCAGATAAATGTAGCCATAGTTCACTAAAGATGAGGCAGATTTGCATAATTTTTTAAAAACAAAAAATTATTAAAAAGAAATCCCTACCATATACACTTATTGGTCATTGTACATAATATAAATGTACTGATCATGATTAAATTGTTATTAGTATTTCTTTTAATAACATATCAATAGGAGATCTACTTAGAGTACTACCTACAAATACACATTCTCTCAGGATTTGATGAGAATATTAAGTTATTGAATACATTTTTTTACTCCCTTGGCAAATCACAGTTGGTAACACTAATAAGGTAGATTTAGATAACACTTAAATCATGATTACGAATGTTTAATTGAATATTTTCCTTTCTGTAGCTGGGAAATGTAAAGCTTAGATTTGCTTCCATCAGGCCTCTTAAACCAAACTTCATCATGGTTAATTGTTGTAATTACGGCACTAAAAAAAAAGAAGAAAGAATGAATGAATTACAATATGCCTTCTTTCCTCAGATTATTAACTGTCCTATCAACAGGACATGCAGTCAAGAATATCACATTCAGGGGCTTGGGGTGTGGCTCAGCGATAGAGAGCTAACCTAGCACATGCGAGGCCTTAGGTTCAATCCTCAGCACCACATAAAAATAAATAAGTAAAATAAAGATATTGTGTCCAACTACAACTAAAAAATACACATTTTTAAATTTTATTTTATTATTTTTATTTTTTTTTTAGTTTTCAGCAGACACAACATCTTTGTTTGTATGTGGTGCTAAGGATCGAACCGCATGCATGCCAGGCGAGAACGCGACCGCTTGAGCCACATCTCCAACCCCTAAAAAATACACATTTTTTAAAAAAGACATTAAAAAAAAAAAAAAGAATATCACATTCAGTAACACTCAATAGATAATAATCTTTCTTTTCTTAATAAGAATTGGTAAATTTTACTATTAGATCTACAGTCATGCCCTTCATGACACTTCAGTCAATATGGACCTCATATATAACAGTGGTTCCAATAAGATTATAATATAATGAAGCTGAAAAATTCTTATCCTCTGATGGTCATATCTGTCAAAACAGAGCATGATGTATCACTTACCTGTTTGTGGTAATGCTGACATAAAAAACCCTACTCAGCTGCCAGTCATATAAAAATATAGCATAACTATGTATAATACATAATACTTGATAATAAATGACTTTGTTACTGGTTTATACATTTACTATATTATACTTTTATCATAATTTTAGAGTATACTCTTTCTACTTATTTAAATTTTTTTTTAAAAAAAGGCTACTGTAAAACAGCATGCTGTGTTACATGGCAGGAGCCTCAGACATCTCATGTATACCACCTGTCTTGATTGCATCGAGGCCACTTAAGCGACTGACCTGTACTATCTAAGTTGTGTAAACATACTCAATTGTGTTCATACAACTGGAAAAATGCTTAATGGTAGTTAGCCACTGTGTACTGAACCTCTGAAACTGTGAGCCCAAATTACACTTGTCCTCCTCTCAGTTGTTCTTGTCAGGTGTTTTGGTCACAGCGACAAAGAGCTGACTAACACAATAGGTCCACCAAAAATTTATAAAAATTTATTTTATTTATTTTATTATTATAAAAATTTATTTTGGTTAAAGGTCATTATATTATGATCATAACAATTAACCTAGTGTAAGAATTAACAAACAGAATTACTTACCTGGATAAATAATTCCAATACTTCCACTTGTATTAATTCTTGTATTCATGAACTTAATATGTACTCTTGTGTAAACTCATGTGATCAAATCATATGTCAAGTGAAAAAACGATCCACACCCAACTAATGACACATTATAAATACCCTATGGAGGCTGTGAATATTTATTGACAATGGTACTTTAAAAAATATACTAAGCAATATTACAATGATAAAAGCCACTTACCTCGTAGGACATTCATCTTTTTTATCAATACATATTGTCTGTCCACGTATGTACCATTCACCATCATAATATAGTCTTCCCTCTTCAGATCTAGCACTGTGCAGATGTTTTTCCAGTTTCACAGGTGCTAAAGGGATCAGTTCAAAAACTGTTATATTAATAAGACATTGTCAGAAGAACAAAAGGGTCAGGACATTAAAAGCTAACACCAATCCATGCATACACATATGAAAAAACACTAAAAGTATTTCTAGTTACAAACCTAAAATCTAACAGAAACAAGATAATTTGATTTCTTACATTTTTTCATAAATTCACTGTTTTTAATATAAATAAGTTAAACAGTGAACAATAAACCATCAATTAGATATGTGCCTTAAGAGGGAAGTAGGTGCATTACCAATTACTAGTTTAAGTAGTAACTGCCAGTTTTAAATAGTACTAAAAATAACTGCCATATTTCCACTGAAAATTGTACTTTTTATGTTTTCTCCTTTGAAAGGCATATGATGTGACCCTTTCAAAAAAGCAGACTTTAATATATATTCAAGAGTTTCCTAAGAATTTTAATTCTAAAAATGATTAAAGTAGAACTTCTATTTTAAAACCCCATAAATGGTTTGGCATTAGTCAGATAAACTCAATGCAAGGGGGGAAAAAATGTTCCTTATAGAAGCACATGGTAAAAAGCACATGAAGAAGGCACCTCTTCATCATTCAAATGTCACTTCCTCAGAGAGGTCTTCCCTAACCACTCTACCCAATCCTTAGCTAATTATAATCACAACTTTATATTTCCTTCATAACAATTAACATTTGGAACTATCTTAATTGCTTATCTACATATATATTATTCCACCTTCCCTAAAGAGGTTCAAAAAGATCTATCCCTTTTTCCCATTATATACACATAAACTAAAATGGTTCCTGTTATATAGAAGGTGTTCAGTAAGTATGCATTCTTTTGTTAATTCATTCATTCAATAAATGTCTGAGCACTTCCTATTCAAAATGAACAGTGCTGGGGGAAAAATGGTGACAAAAAGAGACAAGGTGATAGACTTCATGGAGCTTATAATTCAGTCAGAAGACGACAAGTAAACAATTAATTTAAAAGTACAAACTGAGATAAGTGCTATCAAGAAAACAAATGGGATGCAATAACGAAGATAACAGGGGTTAGGGGAGACCCCAAAATGTTAAGAACTATTGCTCTAGAGATTTAGGAAGTTGCCATTCCAGTTAATTCCTAAGGGTAGTACTTCAGTATAAGACTACTGCAATTTCTTGACATGAAATAAATTTTAGAGAATTCCTTGGATTAAAGATAAAATGGAAATCAATCTCTTAATAGATTATCTGTTAGAATGTGATTAGAAAGACCTTTCCCTAATATTTGAAACATGTTTTTAAAAACCTAGCTTTATCCATAAAGGAAATCTTCCCTCTATGAAAAAAGGCAAAAATAGAGAAAGTTATCCTAGACACTAATGCCCATTGAAATGCTGGTAGTGATTTTAAAAACAAGTCAAGAAGTCAAGCACAGTGAATCAGGCCTGTAGTCCCAGCTATTTGGAAGGCTGAGGCAGGAATATTGCAAGTTCGAGGCTAGCCTGAGCAATTTAGTGAGACTCTGTCTCAAAAAATATAAAAGGCTAGGGGTATAGTTCGGTGGTAGAATGGCCCTCCCAAGTAGTGCCAAAAAAAAAAAATCAAGAAAATGTAATTTGATGTAAATTTTACTAAGGCATATCAAAAATGTGTAAATCTTGGTGGACGATAAATTTCTTGGATGGACTCTGCTGGTCAGCATTCTAATCTCTCCCTCCCTAGAGAAAACACACACATAAGAAACTCTGTCCTCAACTTCAGAGGATCCACAGAATCCCTGAAGTCAATCTACAAATGCCAAACATCTCCCCTAAAAAAATCACTAGTCCATTAAAAAATACAAAATAAATACTCTTTTAATTACTGATTCCTTTTTAGCAAATAGTGAACACAGAAAGAAGAAATATACTGCATCTGTATAGTGTTTGTTGATAAAATGAAACCACTGATGGGGGAGTTATATAGTATGCAGATGATTTAACATCCGTGATTCAACAAGTCTTCTCAACTCATGACTTACGTTCTGTTTTCACTCTGTGTGGACCCAGTGTAGCCATTGCCTTAATTTAAAAAAAAAAAGGTGGGGGGGGAGAAGTTGACTTGAGTTGAGATTGAAAACACATTTTGATATCTATTTCATATAAACAACACTACTGATTGGCTCAATAATAAATACAGTAAAATATAACTACTAGCTGCTCTAATAAATTCTTAATGTCTAAGATGATTGTTATCCTTTGTTATACACAAAGGATAACAATTTTTCCTAGAGATATTATCAATACCTGAAATAATTTCTAACTCTCAACTAAACAGTTTTTAAAAATGTAAAACTTTAAAAAGAAAATAAAGCTTCACTTTTAAACAAGCACAGAAATGTCTATAATTCTTGACTATTTAATGACAGGATGATGGACATATAATTATATAACGGTTCAAATGTTCACTTTTGTTCATTCAACAAATATTGGGTGTCTTCTATGAGCCAGGACCAAGTTAAGCACTATGCATAGAACAATGATATTATTATTATTATTGGGTAAACTAAATAAATGCTTTTCTATACTCTTGCATAAATTATTAGTCACATATTATGGAAAAATTACAAACTGCTGACATGTTTCTAATTCTTAAAATACTTTTGTAGCCCACTATTATTTGAAATAGTGTTACTTGCCTTAGAGAAAATATTGCCAAAGCAAAGCACATTTATAATAATTCTATTTTTATATATTAGTAAAAAAACATAAAATTTTAAAAAGTAGTCTACAAAAATATACTTGTGTTCCATCATTCTTTAATCATACCTTCCTAATTGTTGTCCAGTCTTCAAGAATATCAAGATCTTGTAGCATATAAACTATATATGGACGTTCAAAAGTCAAGGTTAATTTAGCTGTAAGAATATCACATTTTTAATTCTAATTTCAAGGTTCCTATTTTTCAGAGAATGAAACAATGATTTATGGACATAATTCTTTGGCATTATGAATTATGACTTCAAATTACTTTAAAAATCTTAGTATTAGAATTAATATATTCTAAAAAAAAAAAAAAAGAATTAATATATTCTAGTACTTTTAATGCCATAAGCATATACCCTTAATCCTAGGCTATCATTGATTGTAAAATACAGCACCAACCAATCACTGTTTTTAAGGTAGAGGGGAAAAAAGACAGGGGTTGGGGGAAAGTATCATAGGAAATGGCAAGACTGATGTATATATTAGTTATTATTTAGGGAAATTTCAATTTGGGAAACAATAAAACATTTTTTAAAAGTACACAGAATTAATCATGCTATATACTAAACAACTGTTTCACATCAAAGCCCTGATGAACTGTAAAACCACATTATTTTTCACAGTTGAGATGGGGAGTAAATATCTTCTCCCATGTCAATTTAAATCTAAATTATATCTTCTACCTTCAACTGGTTTATAAATCACCTCTGTTTATTACAGGACCATTTAAATAAAGTTAATGTGTACTAGTCAAAAATTATAAAAGTATTACACAAATCAAAAATGTACATCAAAGAAAAAAAGTCCAGAAAATTTAGAAAAGGATATCTGAGACAACAACTGGCTTCTTTTTGTCAGGACTGAAAGGATCCTTTCTCTTTTTTCTTGACTGAAGTTCATCATTCCACAACTCTGGCAATCAAATAAAAATTAAGTATTAGCTGACTTCTAGCGACCACATGAGAAAAAAGGACTATACTTTCATGGTTGCTATTTATCTACATATAAAATATATACAAAATTTATATACATAAGACTGCATATAACTCATAAGCATCTATATATTTATGAATTGTCCTCTGCTTTTATTAAAGTGAAAATCAATTTGGCACTTAGTGACTAATAATTAAAGAGCATATGTCAAGTACTTTATCAAATATATATTATATGCATTGTTTTGCCTAATCTTCAAAGCTACCTCTAAGGTAGGTACTCTTACTATTTCACTTTAATAGACTCAGAGACTGGTTTAGAAAAGCCAAATAACTGTCCATGGCCACCCAACTAGTTGGTAAGGGAGCAATGACATCAGACTTCAGGATATCTGCTTCCAACATGGCTACTCTATATCAGAGAAACAAAATTTATAATGGATAAAATAATATATACTCAAGAATTATAGGATAACCTAGTAAACTATTATGGTTTGGATATGAGGTATCCCCCAACAGCTCCTGTTAATGCAGAAATATTCAGAGGTAAAATGATTCAATTGTGAAAGCTGTAACCTCATTAGTCCATCCTAGACTACATGGACTGACTGACTGGGTGGTAACTGTAGGCAGCTAGAGCATGGCTAGAGGAGGTGGGTGACTGGATGTGCCCTAGAAGAGTGCACCTTTCCTGTGTCCCCTTCACCTCTTTCTGCTTCCTGACCCCACCATGAGCTAAGCAGCTTTCCCCTCGATGCCCAGAGCAATGGAGTCAGCCATCTGTGAACTAAGATCTCTGAAATCATAACCCAAAACCTTTCTATAATACCCCGGAAATACCAAATTCACACTGGACTCTGTGGGCATCTCAGGAATTTGCAAGACAACACTCACTATTAAGGTTCCAGGGTACAGGAGGGAGATTTCTTTTCAGAACAGATCATGGGGGTCATTGCTAGCAGAGGCAGGTTTAGGAAGCTGTTTCACCATGTTGAGCTGGTTCTGCAGGCATGCAGAATGCTTGAGTTAAAGGGTCATGGAGGCTTCCACTGAGGTTTCAAAGGAAGGTCTGGGGAGCCAAGCAAAGTGTAGCAGGGTCAGAGTACCTGTAGGCTGCCTCAGAGAAAGGTGCATGAAGCTGTGAAGATGAAACCTAAACTGGAATGGAGATCTCAGGAATTAAAAATGGCCAGTAACCTGAACTGTCTGCTGAGAAAAGGTACTGGCTGCAGAGACAGCCAGGCTAACTGAGAGGCCATGTGTGTTAAACAACCAGCAAGGCCAAAGGGGCAGGGCTATCCAAGTCCTCTGGAAGTAACAATTAACAGCCAAGTGTCCTAGACATTGTATGTAAAGTTACAGGACCTATTTGCCTGGCTGGGTTTCAGTCTTGCTTTGGCCCCATCCTTCCTTTTTATGCCTTATTCCTACCTTTTGGAATGGAAGTGTTTACCCTATGCCACTGTATATTGAATATATGCAACTTGCTTTTGATCTTTACAGAGGTTCATAGCCAAGAGTTTGCCTAGAATCTCAGGAGACTTTAGACTTGAAATTATGGGAAATGCTGAAAATGTTAAAACTATGGGACTCTTGAAGATAGACTAAATGCATTTTGCATTGTGATATTTACTTGAGCTTTTGGGGGTTAGGGACAGAATGTTATGATTTGGATACGAGGTATCCCCCAAAAAGCTCCTATTCATGCAAAAATATTCAGAAGTAAAATTATTCAGTCCTGAGAGCTGTAATCTCAGCAGTCCATCCTAGACTGCATGGACTTACTTGGTGGTAACGGTAGGCAGGGGAGGCATAGCTAGAGGAGGTAAGTGACTGTAGTGTACCCTAGAAGGGTGCATCTTCCCTGTGACCACTTTCCCACTCACTATCTCTCCTTCCTGACCCCGCCATAAGCTAAGCAGCTTTTCTCTACTAGGCCCTCCCCCATAATGTGCTACCTCACCTTAGGCCCAGAACAATAAATCAGCCGTCTATGGACTAAGAGCTCTGAAACCACTAGCCCCAAATAAACTTTTCCTCCTCTAAGCTGCTCTCGTCAGGTATTTTGGTCATATCAATGCAAAAGCTGACTAAAACATAAATCTTCCACACAATATAGAAAATCTTTCTATAATGCCCCAGAAATGGCCAATTTCATACTGGACTGATCTAATTAAAAATACATGTTTCTTTTTCCTGAGACAAAAATCAACCTCCCTGTAACATTTCTCCACTCATCATAGTTTGATGCCAAAGAGAAAAGGTTTGTATTTCTTGTCCCACATGACAGTCTTTCAAAATTTAGAGTGAAGAACATAAACGGTAACTGTCTACGATATATAAGAATAGTACCACGGTTCCATTCTTACAGTGGGTTCTTGTCATACTTCAGTCTGTCAGCATTTCTTTTCATGTGCTCTATTTTTTTTTTTACATATTTCTAAAGAGTAAGTTCAAATCAAAGTTATAATCATAATCATATAAAATTCTTTAGAAATCACCCTTTTTTCCCTCCTCTTGGGACATTCTGTTTACATCAAGTTAATAGCAGAAGACAAAGATATTATGAAATACTACAGAAGGTTTGGTGTCACAAACATCACCATCATGTCACTCCCATCACCTGAGGTAATGTCAATGCTGTGCCTGTCCTCCTCAAGCCTTCTTATCTTCTCCTCCAGCTCACTCTGGACTGTATCGTATAACAAAAGCTTTTCACTCTGAAAAAATAGATTATACTTAAGTAGAATGAAAATGTTGTTCTATTTCACTTAAGAACAAATAATTTATTCATGATTGTTTGTTTGACTTTGGTTCTACTTGAAAATTTTAAAGAAGAAATGTCACATAGATGAAAGAAATAAAATGAGAAAATAGAATCTAAATATAGATTTAACTACATGAAATTATATTCTCCTTAAGAATATCTAAATTAGTATGTGATAAAGAGGTAAATATTTACTTTATTTAAAAAAAACTCACACCAAGCTCTCATGGCCTCTTAAATATAAGTAGGTCTCACCTGTCACCATAGTGGAGAACCTGACATTTTAAGTATATCATTATAAAATGGATCATATTTTATAACAGGATGATAACTGGGCCTTTATTGTTACAGTGTTATATTAAATAGCCCAATATATCATAAAGAGAAAGATTTAAGTAAAATTTTAATATAACCATTTAAATCATTCAATTAAGTCAAAATTATATACTAATTATATCCAAATCTCTCTATAAAACCATAGACAGATTAACCTGCAAAGATAGACAAGGCTATTTACTGGCATATCAGATTAAAACCCAGGTCTATAAGGTCCAATCCATTGGTTTTGATTATATAACATTATAGCCTTTATTATAAAAGCTATAAAATGCACACATATTGCACAGATCCACTATATAAAAACCTTTTGACAGTTTCCCAACCCACCCACCACATGCTTATCTCTAGGAAGGATACTAGGCTACTGGGATATAGCTAGATAGCCTTGTGGAAGCTTCTGTGATATAGTTAAATTGAACTTTTTATGGAAGACATTAAGTTACACTTAGGTAGTAAGCATGTCTCCTACCTTGTTTTTGAGTTTGAAATAATTTACAGTCTATACATGCCCAAACGTTGTCCTACATGATAGGGAAAAGATGGTTTTTGTCAATAAGAGGCAAACCAAGAGCTAAAAAGAAAGCAAAGCTGAAAAAGACTAGAACTAGATATCATGTGTCATATGAAAAAAATATTGCATGTTGCTTTCTATACTTCCCTTTGCTTGTACTCATTTTGGTAAAGTCTTTTGAAATATTCCAGCCTTATATACAATGTGCTATAAGAACTGGGAAGTGCTATTTATCAGAGTAAAAAAACAGTAGGCCCCCTCCATGGTCAAGACACTATAGCAGCTATAAATAGATATAGTTTCCCTAACCAAAATGATTCTAAACACAAAACTGGAGGGATAAGCCTTCTGCTTTTTAAAAAATATGAACCTTTGGGGGCTGGAGTTGTGACTCAGTGGTAGAGTACTCGCCTAGTGTGGGTGAGGCACTGGGTTAGATCCTCAACACCACATAAAAATAAATAAATAAATATAAGGGCATTGTTTTTTTAAAAAAAAAATGAATGTTTTACTTGTGTATTCTCTTCCCTTCCTAGGCTGGGCAGAACTTCTATAATAAGTACATTAATCATTCTTTATAATAATTTTTAAAAAGCCACAATGAGACTGAAATGTTTAAAGCTTTGAAAGCATTAATAAAGTTATTAAAGGTACAGACAGAAGTTCCTTGAATCCATTCCCTTTCTTGTTTCTCTCCTATTCTTTTAGAAAATACTTTTCCACCTTGTAGGACTTTCAAAAGGCTCCCTAAAGAGGAAAGAAAGTCAGAATAGAACAACTAGAGGATATCTAGAAAAGAAAGGAATACCAAACTCCCTTGTTTTGGTGCCTATAGAGGATTCTATATTCAATGGGTAATTTAATCATTTAAAAATACTATTTACTGGGCTGAAAAGGTAGCTCAGTGGCACAGTGTTTGCCTAACATGCACAAGACCCTGGGTTCAATCCCCAGCACCACAAATAAAACAACAAGGAAAAAAAAAACTATTTACACGTACATATTTGAATTCAATATCCTACATCACTCCACTTTTCACACTTAGAACCTGATCACCAGCCCTTTCTCAGACTGACACCTATGCTGCTCTCCTCAGTGCAACTTTAAAGAACCCCAAGAGAGTGGCCCCAAGGTTCCATTTTTGTACTATCCTCACAGTAAGTTGTGTTCTGAATCAACTCCCCTTTGGTGGTTGCCCCAACTTGAGATACCTCAGTTTTCAACTTCCTTCAGGATTGGAGCCCTGGGAGATTTTTAAGGACTAGCATTATCAGAGAGTGACACATATTAAAAACCTACATTTATTTAAAGTATAATGCATTGAAATTATTAAAATATACAGATTAGAATTTTAAAACTTAGAAACAGACCCTGGTTGTGGGGAAATGATAAAGATGATTTTTCAAATCATCTGGAAAGTTAATGAAAATGGAAAAAATGAGTTTAACTATATCCTGAGAAATAACTAGTAAATCTTTGCTTTATATTATAGATTTTTAAAAATGGACTAAGGCCAGGTGCAATGGCATACCCCAATGACAGGAAGCTGAGATAGGAGCATCATAAGTTCAAGGCCAGCCTAGGCTACTCATGGAGACTTTTTTCCAAAATAAAGGAGTTGGGGTAGAGACCCTCTGGGTTCAATACCCGTACTAACAAATAAAATAATCCTCTAAGAATCCAGCAAAATGAATGAAAAAAAGACCCACACTAAGGTACATCATCTTGGTGTTTCTCAACACCAAGGACAAAGAGAAAATGTTAAACGTGTTAAACAACTAAAACAGGTCAGGATCAGGAATCAAAATGATAAACATTCATGCCTTCAAAATTCCAAGGAGCCAGCCAGGCACAGTGGCATGTGCCTGTAATTCCAGTGGCTCAGGAGGCTGAGACAGGAGGATCACAAGTTCAAAGCCAGCCTCAGCAACTCAGTGAGACCCTAAGCAGCTCTGCGAGACCCTGCCTCTAAATAAAGTATTTTTTTAAAGGCTAGCGCTGTGACTCAGTGGTTAAGTAAGTGTCCCTTGGTTCAATTTTTTGATAATAAAAAAAAAAAACAACTGAAAAAACACAGATTCCATACTAGAATGTCTAGAATTCCATAACCTTAACTGTAAGAGTTAAAGATGTTTTTGAACAAGAAAAGTGTAGAAGTTGTAAATAATTCTTTGATACTCCTAACTTAAGACAGTAGACAAAAAAAAAGGGGGGGGGGCAGACTAATTGCTCTCTCCTTGAATGTGAGCAGAAATTAGTAAGTCACTTTTTTAAAGAGGAGGATGTGACAGAAATCTAGCTCATAAGAAAACACTGTTACTTCTGTTTTGCTCTCTTGGATCACTCAGTCTTAAAGAACTCAGCCATCAGGACACTCAAACACCTGTGGACAGGAGCATGTGGGGAGAACTAAGACTCCCAACCAAGAATCTACAACTGGCTCGCCTTGGGAGTAAGTCACCTCAGAAGGAGATCTTCCAGCCTCCAGTCAAGCTATCAGATAACTGCATTCCTGTCAACAGGTCACCTTCACTCCAACTTCTTGCAATGCCCTGAACAAGACTGCCCATCTAGGGGCTAGGGTTGTGGCTCAGCGGTAGAGTGCTTGCCTCGCATGTGTGAGGTTCGATCCTCAGCACCACATAAAAATAAACAAATAAAAATAAAGATATTGTGTCCATCTACAACTAAAAAAAAAAAATTTAAAACTGCCCGTCTAAATTGGTTTCAAATTCCTCTGGCCATGAAGACTAAAATTAAAAATGTTTATTATTGTTTTAAGCCACTAAAACAGTTTTGGAGTAATTTATTATAAAGTAATAAATAACCAAAGCAAGATGTCTCAAAAAACTGACTCTATATACCCTTCCTCAAGATGCTACTGGAAGATATAATTTATCAAAATGAATGAAAAATTAAGATCTGGTAGAAGAGAGATGAAGGGAATTTCCAGGCTGACGGTGAAGAGATCTCCATGAAGACACAGTTGCAATTAACCTACAAAGAATCTGAAAGATAGAGCAAAGAAGACAGGGACAGCAGGAGGGAGTAGAGGAGTTGCTACCAGGAGGGAAATGGGATGATGCATTGTCTAATGCACTGGATAACATAGAAAACACCATTAGGACTTTGGTCCTAATGCTTTGGGGATTCAACCCAGAGGCAAATATGAGGATCTCTTATAGATCATTTTAGAAACCAAAATAAGACACTGTTTACAACTAAATTTAAAATAAAAAGTTATTTTGATCTTTATAGAACATGAGTTTAAATCCTCATACAATTGAAAATATATCATATTTTAACATTTCTTAAGTCCTTTAGATAACATGCTTTTTATTTTGCCAAATATTCAGGCTTTGTGAAAATTCAATAAGGTTGTCCACTGATAGCTTAATTTTTAGAAAAATAATAACAGTTTTAGCTAAACATGGTGATGCATGCCTGTAATCCCAGCGACTCAGGAGACTGAGGCAGGAGAATCAAAAGTTCAAAGCTAGCCTCAGCAACTTAGCGAGACCTTAAGCAATTTACCAAGACCCTGTCTCAAAATAAAAATTAAAAAGGACTAGGAATAAATAAATAAAACAGCTTTAGAAGGCTTTCTTAGATCCACTGGAGTCTCTAGGAAGAACTGATAAATAAACAGAAAACCAGCAAACAACTTAGCTTTACTTAACCCATTCACACAATTAAGATAATTTCTATTCCAAAATGTGTTTTAAGAATTAAAATGAGAACACAAGGGGCGGGGGTTATAGCTCAACGGTAGAGCCCTTGCCTCACACTTGTGAGGTACTGGGTTAAATCCTCAGCACCACATAAAAAAAATAAATAAATAAAGATATAAAGAAAAAAAAGATTAAAAAAACATGAGAACATGAATACAAAGTACACACCCATAAGTTCCCTTTCCCTTTGTTTCCTCTTTCTGTAATGCCCTTGAACTACTGGTATCTTCTGAGTAATTATATAATTAAATAGATTCTTTACAACAGATTAATTATATGTTAAAGATCTATAACTAGAAGAAATTTAGCTAAATACTTAGCATCTCTATGAAGAAGAAAGAACATTCAAAGCTGAAATATTATGGAAGAGAA